AGCTCGACTATATTTCTCACACTTTTTTTTAATTGTTTTTGCTTCTCGGCTCCCTTGCAAGCCGATGAGAGCCGACTATGGCTCGCACGATAAAACCCAGCTCGACTCTCCCTTGATTACTTATGGGCAACTTGAGTCCGCAAGCGGCTCACGCACTCAACATCCCTATTGAGTACTCTTTGCACAGAATTGAAAGCTTACCCTATGGTAAAAAAGATTGTTCAAATAGATAACTACACATTTATTAATTCAATCAGGTAACGAAGTCTATTCAATGAAATTGTAATTATTTCACGTTAACTACTATCGAGTAGGTGTAATAATCCTCATTTGTAGACTATTACGTCATCGATAATTGTTAGTAGAATTAGACAAAGTAACCATAGTTGAAATCAAATTAAAGAATGATTATCTGATTGGAATTATATTAAACTTTAGTCACTTGATCGAACAAAATTGAAGTACAATAATCTATTGTTAAGGTCAAATATTTTTTATAGGTTAATGCAAGACACCTTGGTGATGATCTCACACTTGTCGGATATTCAAAGTTGATTCTTCTGTTTCACAACAATTTTAACAAATGGAATGCATTATATAAATCAATAGGTGCAAGCACTATGCAATGCACATTTGCATAGTTTAAATTTAATAGTTTTGTTTAAGAATTAATTTGTTATTAATAAAAATGTAGTTTTTTTGGTTAATTAAATAATTAATGATGTAATGTTTATGTAATTGATAAATAATAAGATGTGTGATTTTGATGTTATGATGTAAGTTGGTGAGATCGAAGAAAATAAGCAAAAGTTGACAAATTTGGAGAAAGGGCTAAATTGTAAGGGATCCAAAGTTCGAGAATTAAAATGTAAATACTTAAAAGCTGTGCCGAACCTCACAATGAAGATTTGAGAGTGTTCGAAGTCAATTGGATAAAAGGAAGACGTCAATGGAATCAAATTTAGTCAAAAGATGATCACAAATCAATTTCCAACCGAAAAATTATGGTCCGATGTTTTAGTCTCATATTGAGACCTGTTTTTGGCATAGAAAGTGATCGAATTGAAGAATGATGTCTGAATCAAAGTTATAGCCAAATGAGTTAGCTTTCCAACGCATTTTGAATCGCTTCAATCGGATATCAGAATACAAAATTATGATAAAAACACTGAAAGAAGGTGCAGCTGTCTGTTTAAAACAAGAAATTCCGTTACATAGTCCGTTAAAACAACAAATTCCGTTAGTTTTTCCGTTAAAAATAATCATAGTCCATTATATTGAGACATATTTTTGGCATAGAAAGTGATCGAATTGGAGAATGATATCTGAATCAAAATTGTAGCCAGATGAGTTAGCTTTCCAACTCATTTTGAATCGCCTCAATCGGATATCAGAATACAAAATTATGATAAAAATACTGAAAGAAGGTGCAGCTGTCTGTTTAAAACAAGAAATTCCGTTACATAGTCCGTTAAAACAACAAATTCCGTTACATAGCTACTTTTAATATATAGAAGATATATATATGCATTGGATGGATCAAGTAACACAAACATATTGAGAATATCAATGCCAATATTATATTTAAGAAACTAAACAACTAGCTTTTTGGCTCGTGTTTGATACGTTGTATTCTCTATAGTAATGGCTATCAATCTCCATTTTGGTCACATTCCCTAAGAATTATACCTTGGGATGAAGTTTGAAAATCATACAATGTTCTCGAAATGTCATGAGTAGAATTCTCTGCATCTGTGTGGTAAATAATAACAAAATCTCGTGTATTTGCTAGATAAATAGTTCATAAATGGAATATTGATATATATTTGAAAATTAATTGTAATTTTTTTTATTGGGTCAGTGTTTAATGTACCGTTCATTGGATACAAGACTGAAAAATAAAAATAAAAATAAAAATGGAAGTTATAAAAAATCAGGTATTTAAAGCTCACAGTGCAAAAGGTCACGTGCTAAAGTTTTTTAGTCATAATTCAGGTATTAGGTTAATAATTTTATATTTTAATAAATATATCAACATTAAAAATTTAAAACGTTAATTTTTCATTTTTCCCCTTCTCTTGTCTCTCCCTTCTTCCTCTTATCGCTCTCGTCTCCCTTCTTTAGCCATCGTCACCGGATAACAATATAGTGGCGGCGGAACTCCCTGCAACACCTGCGATCGCCGACCGAGACAGCAGCGGCGCACTCCCTGAGTAGCGGCGGCATGATGCGATCCATTATTCTTCTTTTTCGTCTTTTTTTTTGTATGCGGTTGGGCGTGGTGTTGTGTGCGGTGTTGGTGGTGGTGGTGTTGTAGTAACCGGTTGTGGCATTGGTGATGTTATTGTGGTGGTGTTAGGGGGTTTTATGTGATTTTTATTGGTTGTGTGGATAGTTGTGTTGGTGGCTCTGGCGGTGGTCGTGGTCCTGGTGGTTGTGATGGTTTCTGCCAGTAGTTGTGTTGACGGTGGAGACAGTTATGTTGGCGAGGTTGTGGGTTGGATATTTTTGCAGATGGTGGCGGTCACGAAGGTGGTAGTCGTGCAGGAAATGGTGGCGCCGTGCTACGATTTGTTTTGATGGATCGGCAAAGGATCTAGTGGGATCTGAGGTGTTTTTGTGTAGTGGCATCTGTGGAAGTGGATCGGCTGTTGGGGTGGTGGCCGTGCTTTTTTTGGTGGCTCTGGGTGGTGGCGGTGTTTTGTGTGGTGGTGGTGGCTGAAGTAGTGCCGTGGTATATGACCAAGTATTTGGTTATCTGTGATCAAATATTTAATTGTCATAAAAAATTGACAATATATGACTGAAAAATAATCTGTGACCAAAAAATTTGAAAACATGTGACCAATGAAATTAACTGTGACCTATAAATTTTTGAATTTGTGACCTTGAAATCATCCGAGACCAATTAATTTGATAATATGTGACCAATAGATAAATTGTGACATATAATTATATATCTGTGACCATTATTGTATAATTATGACTTAATTAATAAATATTTTTAATTAATTACCTAATACCTGAGTTTTGAATTGTTAAATTATTTACCTGACTTTTGAATTGGTGGAAATCATACACTCGAATTATGAATTTGTACCAAATAAAATCATGGACATAAAATACCAGTCAAGGCCTAAAGTTGTGGGTAAGCTAAATCGACTTTGTATGACTACAAGCCCGTTGACAATAATGTAGCCTTCTAAATTGGGAAAAATTCATAAATAAAGTGTTTAGTTTACACCAATTCAAAAATCATGTTTATAGTTTGAAAATTCAAAAATCAGGGGTTTTTTTTTTAATTCTAATATAATATAATATAATAAATTCACCCCACATGCACCACCCCTACCGCTTCGGGGATTATTCCGGCAATTATTCTGACCACCACTCTTCTCCGGCGACCATTCCGACGACCACTCTTCTTCGACGACTATTCCGACGACCATTCGGGCCACTATTCCAGCAATCATTCCGGTCACAGATTTATAATTTAATTAGTCACATATTATTTTTCAGTCACAAATAATAATTTTTATACGTCATGGATTATTTTACGGTCACAGTTCAAAAATTTTATAGGTCACATTTAATTCGTTGGTTACAGATTTTAAAATTAGTTGGTCACAGATCAAATTTATAGGTCACACGGTCACATATTTCCAAATTAGTTGGTCACATATTTTTTACAATCACAGATTATATAATTTTTAGGTCATAGATAACAAATGTTTGGTCACGGATAATATTTTCAGTCACGGATTACCTAATTTTAAGATCACAGATTATATTTTTGGTCACAGAAAACCAAAATCATCAGATCCACCACCACCACCTCTGCACTATCGCCACGATCACTACCACCGCCTCACGACA